TTTAAAGATGTTCAAAGTTGGGAACTCAGAAAAATACCCTGGATGACCACCTCTGTCTTTGCAGAGTGGGTCCAAAGACTGGCACAGTCAGGAGGTCTAAGACTGCGGGGGTGAGGGGGCTATGGGGGTTCAGGGTCGCCCGCACGGCTACCTTCCTGGCACTTGAGCGATGGCGGTTGGGTCAGGAGCAGGCGTGGTTCTCCTTCCTGTGGTGGATCGGGGCCCAGCCTCACTCTGTATTTCTGATATGGGAATTCACTGCTACAAATTTCCCTCAAAGGACTGCTTTCATTGCATCCTATAAGTTCTAGTATGTGGTACTGGAATTATCATTGAATTATAGAAACTGTCTAATTTCTTCTGTAATTTCATCTGTGACATGTTGGTTGTTCTGGAGGGTGTTATTTTAATATCCATGTGTTTATGAAGTTTTTTGGCTTCTTTTGGCATTGATTTCAAATTTCACCTCACTATGGTCTGATAATATGCATGGAATAATTTCAGTTCATTTACATTTACTTAATCATGTTCTATGAGCTAGTGAGTTCTGTTTTGGGGAATGTCTCATGTGCAGCTGAAAAGAATGTGTCTTCTGATGGTCTGGGCTGGACCACTCTAGACATCTTAAGTCCATTTGTTCAAAAGTTTGGTTCAGTTCTGATATTTCGTTTTTTTTTTTCCATCTAGTTGATCTATTTATGACATCAGGGTATTGAGGTCCCCTTGTCTTAGTGCTTATTTGATTTCTCATGTCCTTTAATACTTGTTTTGTATAGTTTGGGTGCAGGTATTTGGTGCGTATATATTTATGATATATTTTCCTCTTGGATTGTTCCCTTTTCAAGGATAAAGTGATCTTCTTTTTCTTTCTTAATCCATCTTGGCTTGAAATCCACTTTATTTGCCAGTGGAATATCTACCCTTGCTTTTATCCACTTTCCTGTGGCATGCATTATTTTCCATCCTTTTACTTTCAGTCTGTGAACTTCTTACTGAATTAAATATGTTTCTTGTATACAGCATATTTTTGGGTCTTGCTTCTTGAGCCGTTCTACCAGCCTGTTTCTTTTGATTGTTGAATTGAGACCATTGCATTGACAGTTATAACTGATGTGTGTATGTATTGACTTATTCCTGTCACGATATTTTTCTGTTATTGGTTTCCCATTTCCCCCTCTGTTTAATTGCTTGCCTTTTCTGGTAGATCATTCTGTTGGTGTTCATGCAGCTATAGTCCTTGTTATTTCTTTCTAGAATGTCCTTCAGAACATTTTGTAGAGATGGTTTGGTGGTCATGAGTTTCTTCATTTGTTCTTTGTCATGAAGGTATCTTATTTATTCATTAATCATGAAAGTTTGATCTACAGGTTATATCCATTTGGGATAGAAACTATTTTCTTGCTTCCTTTTTTTTTTTTTTTTTTTT